AAATACAATTAAAAATAATATTCCCTGGAAAATCACGAATATTATGTTAAAAAAATATCCGTTGACCTTGTTCTGAGAAAGGCAAAGTGCAAACCATTGTTAAATGATACTATTATAAGACACACCTTTAAAATTGGCAGAACTTCCAGGGGTAATAAGTAGGTAGAGGTCCAAGAATGTAACTTGTACCAACACAAGAAAACGTAATGCAAAAAAGTTTAAAGTCTAAAGAATAACCTTTAACTTGACTATTGAAGAAATGGAGAAACATTTAGTGGTAATCTATGACGATTACCTAACTCATAATCTGTATCTATAATTTATAAACACGTGTTACGCCATTAAACATGACTGATTGTCTATAATGATTTGGTCGACTCTTTCTTATTACGCTGACGGACCAATATTGGAAAAAAGTTATCGCAGATGGGATCCTATTTGTTCGTATATTATGGATGGTCATTCTATCGGGACAACGACTGCTAGTACGTCAGTAAATCAATGAAGTCAATGTGATCTCAATCCGATTGAGAATTTATGTTGTGAAGTTATAAATATAGTTTCCAACTTTGGGAGATTGAGAATTTTGGGACATTCATTTCTCTGAAAATAGGCCAAAACTTGCTGAAAAAACTTGTACCATCTATGCAACCAAACACTAATCGTAGAATAATACAACCGCATATCATATCTATAATTTTTAGAAATATTTTGTAGCCCCAGGAAGAGCTTCACTACTATTCCACTATTATTATTTTGACCGGCTTATTTGTGATAAATTTAAAGACTCAATTTTTTTTTTGTTAATCATTTTATAGTTATCCCAGGTCTTAATGTTTATCCATCTTCTGTATTGATAGCTTGTGCTCGAATCCAATTTTCATAATGTTTTAAATATACTTTATGTTTTTAAATATATACCAATATATATATACAAATACATATATATATTTGGATGTGTCTGAATGCGCTTTAGCCAGTCAATTTAGGTCAAATCTACAACAACAACAAGGACCATTGCCAGTCTTAAACGAGTTTGTATGTGTGTGCGTGTGTGTGTATCTGTGTACAATTCCAGCATATGCACATAAATGTGCAATCATACGCACACATATGCGAGGGTCGTTCAACAAGTCCTTGCAAGCCTAGAAAGCTGATTTTATCATTTTGCTAATGATACATATTTTAATATATATATTAAAATGTTTGGTAGCAATAATATGATAAGTACTAAAGAACACACATTTTTCGAAAACCCGCTTTTTATTTAAAAAAAAAAAACCTATATAAAGATTTTGATTGCATATTGATAAGAAAGAGGCAAAATTAGTGCTTATCATAAGTAACGAAAGTCTCTGGTATTTGGAAAATTTTAGAAAACTTGATGTACGAAATATTTTGGGGCTAGCATCTTTCATCTCTAGATCGTAATTGATTGCCTCTTTTACTTTGTTAAATTTTATTTACGACGTGCATAGATACATATATATAATATATACATAGATACACGCATGTCATATTGTACACATGTATGTGTGTGTATAAACAAAGCTGAAATTGCTGCCAATACGAATATGCATGTGTGTGTGTGTGTGTTTACAACAGCAGCAACAGATTTCTTACCTTTCATTCATAAAAATGTCTCGACAAAAAGAAAGAAGGAAAACAAGCAAAACAAAACGTGCGCACACTCATACAGACATACACACACACACACGCACATCCACAGCTACATATATGCATATGCAACTCCATGCACGCATGCCTTTCTTTATTGAAAATATAATACATACATACATATGTGCAGAGCCTTCTGTATGCGTTGTACACTTTTTCATTCTTGCTTGTGTGTGCTTGTACATTTAATGCCAAAATAAACAGCAGAGACGCCGACTGCGCTGCCTGCATATTGATTGAGAGAAGGCGCAAAAGAAGGGACCGCGTGCATTGATAACAACACCAACACACATATGGCGTTGGCGAGTGTCTGTGTCTCTCTCTATGTGTGTGTGTGCGCGTGTGTGTGCGCGTGTGTGTATGCGTGTGTATATGTGTTTTCATATATAAAAGAGAGTGCCAAGCAGCAGCAGGCAGAGGTCATTGGTTAGTAGAGGCGCCACAGACAAGTCACATGTTAAATAAAATACCTATGAACAACAAGCAGCGGTAGAATCATTGCAGTCGAAAAGTACCGACTGAGCAATACTCTGCTCTCTTACTGAATTTCAATTAAAGTAAAATGAAAAAGAGATGAATTTCTTCATTAAACGTAACTAACTGTTAACAGTTGTTAACATAGTAAAACTCACATACTCCGTTTCATTTTTAAAACAGAGCATATTTTTTTTCTATTGACAGAGAGAGAGAGAGAGCGAGAGAGTTGGAAAGAACGAGAGCGAGTATAGGTTTAAATTCCTATTGGTGGTGAACAAGGCGGCGGCGACGTCAACGAACTGCAACGATGACATTCCCATATATTTGAGGCAGGGCATGGACGTGGGTAGGGTTGACAGACTGACTGACTGACTGACACCCCCATTCCATAGGCCCATCTCTCCACCTCTCATCCACATTTCCATTTCCACGCCTATGCCTAGTCTTAGTCTACACTTTGTACTTGCGACGCATGCGCAATGCTCTTCAAGCTGTGAGCAACAGTTGCAATTCGCCTGGGGAGCAGTTTGAGAGTCAGTGGTGGTTGTGCTGGTGCTGCCAAAACTGTTGTCATCTGAAGAAAATGCAATGTTGGCAAATAATTAAATAAACCCAGCAGCAAAACTACTCAAATTTGAAACTTACACAAAAAGTGTAAGGAATAAACAAAAAAAACAGCAAAAAATCGAAAATAAATACATATTGAAAAGAGCAGTGACAGCATATTTTGCTCGTCGTTTCAACTTCAATTCCAGGAAAAACAGGCAAAAAAAATTACAGTCCAACTCCACTATGGTGCGCTTCTTGCAATATACAACCAAGATCTCCATATTCCAAAATACACCGCTCTTTTTGAATTTTTGTTTGTGTTTTTTTTTTTTAATAAGTCAAGTGACCCTTCGCCATAGCGATGTTTGACTGTATCTGCATATATATGCACACAACAACACCTCAAGATATCAGACAGAGACGGATAAGCGGCAATGAAATTTGTCTGCAGTTTCTTTTGCTGCTACTGCTGAAGGAGAAGAAGGCGGCCAGAGCATGTGAAGTGAAACTGAAGTTGTTGTTTCGTTGTTGGTTCGTAAACTCAATTTAGCGACTTTTTCACAATCTCTCTGTGTCTCTCTTTCTCTGTCTATGCATGCCCATCTAAAGCGGCGCGCGCTTTCATTCATAAAATAGAGTTGCCTACACGCTGCGATTTTCGCTGGAATTGCTGAAAGGCCTGTTAATTAAAAAAAAACGAAAAGTGATAAAAACGAAAAAACGCCAGTACAATGGGACAAGAGGCGATCGATTCTTTTAAATTTCCTATACATAAATACATAGCTGTATATACATATATATATACGTATATTGTGATGATTCGATTTATGTACTTATGTATTTGATACTTCTGTAGAGCAAGGGTATTCAATCTTCCGCATGCATTTCTCTTTTCCCCCATTTTTTTTTATTATTTGTTCTTGTTTTTTTTTTTATTTAGTTTTTGGCGTCGTCGTTGCTTTTTTGCGACGCGACTGCGACTGGAGTGAAATTACTTCCAAGAAAAATAAACATGATATTAAATGTGCAACATTCCAGTGGAGACTACAACGGCGACAGCAGCAGCAGATCGAGATTTTTGCAATGCTGCTGTTGTTGTTATTGTAGTTGTGATCTTGTTTGCCAGTCTTGTTCGCTTCACTGTTGTATTTGCTGCTTTTGTAGTTGTTGTTGTTGTTGTTGTTCTTGCTGCTCTTGTCTCTTAGCGCCAAAAAGCGTTGAGCGCGGCGGCTTTTTGTAGTTGTTGTTGCTGTCTGTTCGTATTTTTCTTTTAGTTGCTGTTTGCTGTTGATGCCGTTATGGCAACAGGATGTTATGACGCTCTCTTTTTCTGCTGTTTGTCTGCCTGTCTGACTCTCTCTCTGTCTGTGTGTGTGTGTGTGTGCAGATGACATATGCGTACATGAACATATACACATGTTGTTGCTTTAGTTGTTGCCAACTTTGTAGATCTTAGCCATTAGCCGCTTAACTATTTTGACTGTAAAAATAATTGGAAATATTTGAAATATTATCAGAGTAATAAAAGAAAAAAAACGCCCAAGAACAACATGCAAACGGTTCACGATCTTTCGTTCTCTTTTGTGTCCAGCACGTTCGCAATCCTTTTTTTTGCTCTCACTCTCTCTCTCTCTCTCTCTCTCTGTCTCTCTCTCTCTGACTATTCGTTTCTGTCATTTCTTTCTCTAACGCCTTCACAGGGTCCTATGTGAATGTTGTTTGTATCCTCAATCGCTATATGGCACAACACAACACCCATCCCCCACCCACCCCCCAGTCCCATCCACCCAACCCGTAAATACTAAAAGAAAAGAAGCATTAAAAAAAAGAAAGAAGAAACTAAGCAAAATTCAGAATTCACGCAGTCTTTCATTTTCACGCTCGCTATTTCTCGCTCTCTTTAGCTGTTAGTTGCGCTGCTGACTCTCTTACTGACATACTGCTCTCTTTATCTCTCTCTCTCTCTCTCTCTATCTATCTCTATCCCTATCTCTCTCTCTCTCTCTCTTTCTTTTCTTTTCCCTCATTTGATTAATTTCTTGTGTTTGTTTTTGTGTTTCTTGCTTTATCACATCAAAATGAAACATTAAAAAAAAAAAATTTTAAAAAATAACTGAAATTCACTACAAACTTTCGTATTATTTTTCCCCCCTTTTTTTATTTTCTTACTTTCCTTATTTTGTTTATATTTTTGTCTCTTTTTGCTTTTGTTTTTTGTTTTGTTTGATTCGTTTGTGTTTTTATTTCTCTGTGTTTTCTTTTGTTTTGTGTGTGTTTTTACGCTATTTTCTTCACAGTGTTACAACATCAAAAATCTTAATAAGCGGCATACCGCTGCAAACACGTTTCGAAGACATCGAACCGCTACTGAAGCCCTATGGCATCGTCAAACAATGTGAGGCTATTTCTAGTAAGGATCAAAATACTCAAACAGTACATATAACATTCGAAAATCCTGAGCAGGCGCAAAGGTATATACATATCAATCAACAACAACTTTAAAAAATAACTTAAAGAACACTAATAGCTAATAGATAAACCAAATAAGACAACAAAAAAAAAAAAATACAAAATTACAAAATTACAAAATTAAAAAAAAAATACTACTTAATACCAGATTTACGTGATTTTGGAAATGGTTCGAAAACTGTGTGTAAATCTAGTGTTAAGTACAAGTTGAATACGAATTTACAATTCTCGAATTATGTATGTGTAATAGATGGAAAATTATCGATAAAAATCTATCGATAAATTCGAAACAAATTAGGCTCTTATTTATAAAACATATATCATATATACATCCACCTCATCGACAGTTATCAATTGTTTTCCAGCTATATATATATATATATATATATATGTATATAGATATATGCACATACACCTTGATATATATTTATTACTGATTCTTAATATTTAATTAGTAAGCTTGATCGCATTTGTGGCTGGTGGCAAAAGGGGGACGGGGGGACGGTGCGCTTGGCTGTTGTGACTGTGCGGGGAGGGGTGGGGAGTGGGCGGGTCGGGGCGTGGTGGGTCGGTGCTTGTGTGTTGTGCTTAGGGCGTTTTTATGTAGCTACTCTTGTCTGTGTGTGTTTGTGTGTGTTGTTGTAATAATGTTTGATCTGATCTGGATGCAATTATTTGTACCACAACATACCAGTATATGTATATATCTATATACTTATATTTATATATATATATGTGTGTATGTATTTTAAAATTTAAAATGTTATCAATATAAACACACTATGCAATACATAAATACATACATACATACAGATACATACGTATATCATCCAAATATAATTCCTTTTCAATTTGCACACTTTCTTACCAATTTCTCTCGTTTTTTTGTTTTTTTTTTTTACTTTGTGTTGGTTTAAATCTCGTTTAGAGCTGCCGGTGGTCTGAACGGCGTCGAGTTCGAGGGCAGCAAACTGCACGCGGAGCAATTGGACAAAAATCAACGGCGCAGCATACGCAATCAGCGCAATCCGTATCCGGGCATGCCGGGACCCGGACGCCAGGCGGACTTCCCGCTGCGCATTCTGGTACAGAGCGAGATGGTTGGCGCGATCATTGGACGACAGGGCAGCACTATTCGCACCATCACACAACAGAGTCGCGCCCGTGTCGATGTGCATCGCAAGGAGAATGTTGGCTCGCTCGAGAAGTCCATTACGATCTATGGCAATCCCGATAACTGCACCAATGCATGCAAGCGCATATTGGAGGTTATGCAACAGGAGGCGCTATCCACGAATAAGGGGTAAGTCTCAAACAATTCCATCCCCAACCAACCAAATAAAAGCACAACAATTAACCAAAATCTTTTCTGTGTGTGTGTGTTCCCTTAGTGAGATCTGCCTGAAGATACTCGCCCATAATAATCTAATTGGTCGCATCATTGGCAAAAGCGGCAACACGATTAAGCGCATCATGCAGGACACGGACACGAAGATAACCGTCAGCTCGATCAATGACATTAACAGCTACAATCTGGAGCGCATCATTACGGTGAAGGGCCTGATTGAGAATATGTCACGCGCGGAAAACCAAATTAGCACCAAGCTGCGCCAAAGCTATGAGAACGATCTGCAGGCAATTGCGCCACAGAGCCTCATGTTCCCCGGCCTGCATCCAATGGCAATGATGTCGACACCGGGCAATGGCATGGTCTTCAATACGAGCATGCCGTTCCCCTCCTGTCAAAGCTTTGCCATGTCCAAAACACCGGCCAGCGTGGTGCCGCCGGCCTTCCCCAACGATATGCAGGAGACAACATATCTGTATATACCGAATAATGCCGTTGGGGCAATCATTGGCACCAAGGGCTCGCACATTCGCAGCATAATGCGCTTCTCGAGCGCATCCCTCAAAATAGCGCCGCTCGACGCCGACAAGCCGTTGGACCAACAAACGGAGCGCAAGGTCACGATTGTTGGCACACCGGAGGGTCAGTGGAAGGCGCAGTACATGATATTCGAGAAGATGCGCGAAGAGGGCTTCATGTGCGGCACCGATGATGTTCGCCTCACCGTCGAGCTGCTCGTCGCCAGCTCTCAGGTATGCACCGAAACTGAAACGGGCTGGTTTCTATTCAACTATTTACATTATTATAACTATCAATCGAAAGTTTCGATTAAATAGTTCTCTGAGCAAATGTTGAAATCCGATTCTGGTTCAGAATTCCAATTGGTTAATTTTGGCGAAGCTAGATTTTTATACAAGGCAAAATAATCGGATTTGGATTGGCACGAACTAAACAATCAAAAGACATTTAAGACATTTATAGACATATATAGATATAATTAATTTAAAATTGACAAACAAAAGAAGTAAATAATTCAAATCGAATGTGTCTCTGAGAAGGGGGGGAGCTAAATTCAGTTCCGGATTTCAATTGGCTGAGGATAGGAAGAGTAAGCTTAAATTATATATGTGTTTCTCTGCAGGTCGGACGCATCATTGGCAAGGGCGGGCAGAACGTGCGTGAGCTGCAACGTGTGACAGGTAGCGTCATTAAGCTGCCAGAGCATGCGCTGGCGCCACCTTCTGGCGGCGATGAGGAAACACCTGTGCACATTATTGGCCAATTTTACAGTGTTCAGGTGAGTGATGAATGTTTTTTTTATCGGCTATCAAATTGTCAAATTATCAACTAAATCTGTTTTTGCTTTTGATTCCACTTTGTGGTGTACACCAACAACAACAACAACAGTCCGCACAGCGTCGAATTCGCGCCATGATGCTATCGACGAATCCGCCTCCAGTGACCAAAAAACAGAAAGCTGCCAAAGAACAACAATTGCAACAACATCAGCTGAATCTACAACTTTTAACGGGCGCTGCGCCAAGTGGGACTCAGCAGCAGCAGCAGCAGCAGCAGCAGCAGCAACAGCAACTATCGCCGGTGCTGCAGCCGCAACAGCAACAGCAACAACAGCCGCAGCAGCAGCAGCAGCAACAGCCGCTGCCGCCGCAATCGCATCATCAATCGTCGGCGTCATCGTCGTCGACGCCACCTGCGCATCACCAGCAGCAGGCGTCGTCGACAGCGTCGTCACATCAATTGCAGCAGCAGCAGCCGTCGCCGCCGCCCGGCAATGCATCGGCCGCTACTCCCCAGCAGCAGCAGCAACAGCAGCAGCAGCAGCAGCAACAACAACAGCAGCAACAGCAGCTGGCAAGCACACAGCAGTAAGGTGTGCGCAGCCGTGGGGTGGGGGAGGGGTTAAGGGGCAACCTAAATGCATCAAGCAAACAACAAACAAGGAACTTTAATCAACAAGCATCAACAACAATCAACAAATGATAGTATAACAACAACAATAGCTTCAAAATATACACAACACTACCAACACCACCACCACCACCACCACACACATTCATTCGGATTGGTCAGGGCAGTTTCCTTTTACGTTTTATATTTTCCGCTTGCATCAGCTAACAGCAACAACAACAACTCTCGTTTCCCATCAATTCCAACAACAACAACAACAACAACTGCTGCTGCTGCGGCGACGGCAGAAGGAGGAAAAGCAACGAAAGCAGAGCAGAGCAGCTGGAGTAGGAGGAGGAGAACGCAGGAGCAGCAGCCAGACGACAGATGCGCCCAAGACAGATAGCAATAGCAGATAGCACAGAGCATTTGAACTATCTAACAGTTGTATATAACAGTTACAACTGTTATACAACGGCTGGCGTTTGCTGGCTGGCGAACTGCGAACTACAGAAAAAGAAAAACGGCAATTGTACTGCTGCTGATCTATCTGTTATATATATATATATATATATATATATATAATTTAACTACATTTCACGTTGATCAAAAATTTGAATTGCGCCTGAAGCGCAAACGAAAGCGACATTTAACTGGATTTAACAACAACATCAACAACAACAACACAATAACAATAACAACTTTATTAAAAACAAATTTATGGAAAAGTGTCGCAGCCCCCGCAGCAACCAATATATGAAAATAAAATATTTACAACTTGAAAAGAAACAAAACAAAAGTTACACCCAAATACAAAAAGTAAAAACACAAAAAAAAAAACGATTAAGAAAAGTAAAAAAAAAAATCAACAAAAAACAAATACAAAATTAAGCCGTAAAAGCAGCAAACTCGTTTTTTATATATAGATATATAAAATTTAATTTTTTATGAATTATTTTATTTTTTTTTTAAATAACTTTTATTTAGAGTACATTAAGTGAACACAAAAAAAAAAACAAAACAAAACAAAAAACCAATCAGTTGTTGGTTTGTGTGTGTGTTTTTTTTTTATATACTTGTTTTCTTCTTTTAAGCGTATTGCATTTGAAAATTTGAGAAATTGTAGCAGTAAAAATTGTTTGCAAAACACAAATCAGATGACAAACAGCGGCTTAGAAACAGAACAGGAAACTAAATCTGTATGTTATTATTATTATTATTATTACTACTACTACTACTACTACTACTATTACTACTACTACTACTACTACAACTACTACAACATATTACTACTACTTTTTATTATATTTTGTCGCGTTTCTTTATTGAAAAGTAAAATTGGAAGCAGGTGTAGACTTCAGCCCACCTCTCAAAATATCTACAACTAAACTTAAACATCTAAACTAATCCGAAACCCAAACCAATTGAAATGAAAAAATCTGTAAAAATTATGAATTGATTTGAGGCGAAACAGAAACCCAGACAAGTGTGTTCAATGCGAGGGTCGACATAAAAGTTGTCCATTGAAAAGCAGCAGCAGCAGAGAATGCGTTTATGTATTTTGTACTCTGTGTATAACAGTAAACTGTTATATGGAGCACGCGTGGGAGACAACTATATGGAAATAACATAACTGAAAGTACACACAAACAAACACACACATATATATATATATAAATATGTATACACGCATCCACACACACACACATACATATACATACATACAAGAAAAAAAAAATAGTTATAATTAAGTTGTGTCTCTCACCTAAATGCCAAGCAAACAATGTTAGTGTACAGCTGTATAATAGTTTTCGAGAATTGAGATTTTCAGAGAATATATGAAAAACTGAATTGTTAATATTGTTTGAACAGCGCAAAAGAGGATAGCAAGGAAGAGCGACAAGGAAAGCGGAAGATAACGAGCGAGAATCAGAGAGAGAGCGAGAGAGAGAGAGAGAGCATTATAATGTGTTTGCCTTGAAACAAAAAAAAAAAAAAAAAAACGAATACAAAAAACAAAAGAAAACAAAAATAACGGTGCTGAAATGTTAATTTTTATATAACGAAAAACGAGCAACAAGTGTTAAAGTGTTATATTAAATGAAAAGGGGAAGAAAAACAAAAAACAAGCTGTTATAATTCACAACACACACACACACACACACACACAGAGAACATTAAATTCAACACAACACGAATCAACTACTATATATAACACATAGCTTTCTAATGCGGTCCATTTAGTCGAACAGTCGGCCGATCAATTGTGATCTGAGCGGAATGTGTCGATCCATGGTATTATATATATATATATATATGTATATATATATATATATATAGTTTGAATGTTGTCGTTTCGTACATAGTTATGTACATAATACATGTTTAACAAATTTGTGTCCTTTTCTATTTCTATTTCTATTTTTTTTTTTTTTTGTTTTCCTCTAATAAAATACATGTAATTCGAGAAGCGCAAAACATAGATTGTAAAACATAGTGTATAACAGTTTTTTTTTTCCATAGCTGCTAAAATCGTAACTGAAGTAACTGAATCGGAGCAACAAACAATCAAACAACAAACCCAAGACAATAGCCCAATTTTGTTGAAATATACATAAATAGAATAACGTGAAGTTTTTTATTATTTGATTTTTGTTTACATTACATAACTTTACATAACATTACATAACATTACCTTACATTACATACATTTAAATGCATAAATACATACATACATGAATACATATTTACATCGATATATAGTTTTTGCCTTATTGTTTGTTTGTTTTGTTTTCTTACTGCATTAAGTTATAATATATATATATATATATATATGAATATGTTGAGTACAACACAATAGAAAGTTAGCAGCTCGGATTTTGTATTACTTTTGCTTGTATAACACTTCCATTTTAGACTTATATACTTCGTGCATTTAAAACAGAATTTGTACTAAAAAAAAACACAAACGACAAAAATAAACATTTCGGCCACAAAAAACTACCAACAAACAAATTTGGTTTCAAACAAAATTGAACAAATCAAATCAATCAGATTCGAAAATGACAAAAACAAAATTAAAATCAACAGCAACAACAACGACAACAAAACAACAACAACAACAACAAGAGCCTAAGCTCTTTTATGGCAGTTTACATAGGACAGATATTTTTGCATAGATTACAAAAGAAAACGAAAACAAAAAAAGAGAGAACAAAACATGTGTAAGAAATCTATTGATGAAGATTGAAAAAGTAATTAAAATACCTCAATGTAAGTGCATTATCTTCAATGACAAAAAGAAAACAAAAATGAATACAAATTATAAATGTAAAACAAAAATGTTAAAACTAAAGTAAAAGCTAAAGAAAAGAGCAAACCTAACGAATATGTAAACAAAAGCAGCAGAAACTAAAAAGCATAAACAAAAAAATTTAGACAAAAGCAAACAAAAAATATAAATAAAAGAATAAAAAAATAAATAATATGAATGAAAATAAAATGAATCATAAAGAAAATTATGATAGTTTGTAAGCAATGCAAAACCTGAAGGATTTCATACTACAAAAAGAAAAAGAAAAAAATTAAATAAAAAACAAAAACAAAAACAAAATAAACGAATAAACACAAGTATAACAACAACAAATGCAAAACAAATAAAACAAAAACAAAAACAAGAACAACTACTACAACAACAACAACAACAAGAACACCAACAACTACTACTACTTCTATACAACAACAACAACAACAACTAAAAGGCATATCAATAAAGAGAGCGAAGAGAGAAGAATAGTGTAGGCCAAAGCATAGTCGATTTCACGATTTTTTCACAAACAACACACACAACACACACACACACACACACAGAGAGCACAAGTTTCGAATCGGAACACACACAAACAGACAGAAACACACACACACACACACACAAGTGCACAGGTGTAAATATACAACATACATATGAGAGTGAAAAGCCTTCTTTTTATATTTATGCCAAATGAGAGTAGGACGACGACAGATGCACAGATCCAGACACAGATCCAAAACTCAAACTGAAACTCAGACCCAGATCCACCAGACCCCAATTTAAGGAGTAAACAAAGTGAAAATTGTTAAAGTTTTGGTGTTTCCTATATAAATGAAAAAAAAAAAAAAAAAAAAAAACAAAAAAACAAAAACAAAAAAAGCAAAAAAAGAGAGAAGAGAAGAAAGAAAAGAAAAGAAAAAGAAAAACCTATACACTCTACACATGAATATAGACCTTTTGCGTAGCTTGAGGAGCAGGGGAGGCGGTTATTGTCAAGTGTATATAGAAGGAGTTTTGCTAGGCATATAACATTTATATATATATATATATATAAATATGTATATCTATAAATATATATATATATATGTATACATATGTATGTGTTGAGAATGCGCAAAGAAAATTTGTTTTGTTATAATTGAAGGTGTGTATTTGTTTTTAATATACATATACATACATATATATACATATACATACATATGCGTACATACATATATATTTATATACATATATATATGTATATATGTATATAATTTAATTTTTTTTCGGTGACGTCTTGAAGTTTGCGTAGCGCATAGGAAAAATGTCCAAAGTTGTCAATACAAAGAGCATATACTTATATTCTACTATTTAGCAAACCTAAATACCCTATACTATATGATATGATGCATGCTTGGTGATGATGCCTAAGCATTTTATTAAAGAAAAAAACGAAACAAAACTGAAAAAAAAAAAAAACAAACAAACAATACAAAAACAAGAAAACAAAACGAAACAAAAAACAAAAAAAAAAAACGTAAAACGAATTTTTATAAAAGATTCCAAAAATGTAAACTAGAACAAACATGGCAACGTTTTTGAACTTGCATTGTTTATATTTTGCATAAAAAATTCCAAATGCTGAAGCAAGAAAAAAGAAAGAATTGGGAGAGAAGCGAAAGCAGCGAGTGAGAGAAGGAGAAGAGAAGAGAAGAGAAAGAGAGCAGAGTGGTTGAGTTAACTAACTAT